ATACCACCTGCTGGTCCCACCTTAACCTCCACACCACCTGCTGGTCTCCATAGCAGACATCAAACTTCCTTTCATATCAGGAAGTACTCGGCTCCTAAGTCCAAGTTTTAAAAACATTTTTGTGTGTGTGTGTGTGATGCTTTTCCTGGGGAAAAACTCAGGAATAATTATTTAAATGTTGACAGCCGGCCTGAATTGTAAACATTTGGTGGGAGTTCTTAAAATAGATCTATGTTTCAAACTTTCAGGGAGCATTTTAAGAACCACTCTCTTAGAAGTTTTCATGATTTACTTTGAGAATCTAATCTCAGAACAAATTTCAAAACTGAGATTGATGTAGGGCCCAGGTGCAAACACTGAGAATCAGCTACATGCAGCTGCACCCTGGTTTCCTAATTCATCTAACAGCTCTTCGCGGGGCCTGTGGTGACATTAGAAAAGGCGCAGCAGATGTGCAAGATGGCTCCTGAAATCTCAAGTGGGACAGATGGCCCTCGGCGTGACTGACAGCACGGGGCGCGCTGCGGCAGGGGTCACCTCCTGCAGAGGGCTGGGTTTTTTTTCCCTCCTTGCTTCTGCCTGAAAATGAAACTGTCATACAAGAAAGAAAAGCAGGAGATGGCTATTCAAAAGGTCTTTTTATTTTTTCTTTCAAGTGTTCCTCGCAATGAAAAGATCCTCCACAATAGAGTCACCTAGATTTCTCTTTCCCCAACCTTTGACAAAAAGTAGACTTTGCATAGCTGTCACAAAGTCCACAGCTTCATGTCGGAACACAACACTCCGGATGCCAGCGACAGAGCGGAGACTGCAGAGAGAATACCATCTCCCGAGCAGCCTTAGTCAGCATCGCAGTGTTTCTTCACTGGAAGCCCTTCGTTGCCCTTTAAGATAAAGCACTTGTTTCCAAATTAAAAACAAAACAAAACAAAAAGCTGTATTAGGGGACCAGCAGTTAGCGTAATGGCTATGTCGCTGAACTCCCATGGAGTCGACTGGGGTTCAAGTCCCGGACGCGCCCTATGGCAAAAACTTCTCCAAAAAAAAAGATGGCAAAGCCTCTGTGGCAGCGGTGTAAAGCCACCGAACACGAGGTATGTATACCCCAGCAGCTGGTCCACATCGTGTTCTTCCACGGATAACCCACGTGTACTTGTTCTCTGATGTCGTGCTGACTGCCAGGGATTTGACGCCCTTACCTTTCTCCCTATTCAATTGTCTTCACTTCGTCCTCACCAACTTCAATTCCATTGCCCATAATGTCAACCATTCTCTTGTCAGTACCTTCGGCTGCCTTATCTTTCTATAATAAATGTACGGGTAGGGCCAGCAGTTAGCATAATGGCTATGTCGCTGGACTCCCATATAGTCGACTGCGGTTTGCGTCCCGGACCTGGTGGCTTAAAACTCACACCGGGCACGTGTGTGCGTGTGCCCAAGGCCCCGAGAGGAGAATGGAGGAGAAGGGATTACAGCGTGGCCATCCCCCGGGGCGTGATTTCTCGCTTTCTGTCTCTCTGTCTCTCTCTGGCGAGCACACATGTCCTGTAGCAAAAACCTCTAAAAAAAAATTAGTAATTTTGGTAATGGAAGTTTAAAAGTTCATCGGAAAAGACCAACTTTCTTGAAGCTAAAATCAAGAAGGAATTTATAGGGGCTGGCAGGTGGCATGATGGTTAAGGATGCTGGACTCCCACATGGCTGACCACGGTTTGAGTCCCGGACCTGGTGGCTTGTTTTCTCACTTTCCCTCTTTCTCTCATTCTGTTCCTCTCTGATCAAATTAAAATAAATAAATAAAGTTAAATCAATTTTAGAAAAAGAAGGAATTTATAACATTGATTTCATTTATGTGAATTAGCTCTCTAAACTATTCCTTCATAATTGATTTTAAGAAGTAATGCCTAGCAACTGGGCATTTCTTATGATGGTGTAGTTCTTAGTTCAGTGCAGTTATTATTTTAGATTTATTTATTTTATTTATCATTATTATTTTTATATTTACTAAAGGGCACGTGCGCTCACCAGAAAGACAGAGAGAGAGAGAGAAAGAGAAAGTGAGAAAGTAAGCCTCCAGGTCCAGGACTCAAATAGTGGTTTCACCACATGGGAGTCCACTGACTTAACCACCACTCCTCCTGTCGGGCACTAGTAGACTTAATCATTTATTTTAAAAAGAATTATTTATTTTATTCATTAATTTATTTTAATTTGACCACACACACACACACGGGGAGAAAGCAAGCCACCACGTCTGGGATTCAAACCTGTTTGGCCATGTAGAAGTGTCCAGCGCGTTAACCACCATACCACCAGCTGGTTCCCCCAGTGGACTTATTTTGAAGAGTGTTGATCTAATTTAATTCAGGTGAATTAACTTCTGGTGATGTCACAGCTTAAGATTAGAGCGCCAGGAGCTGGATTTAGCTAATAAATTCTACAGCCTATCTGTATCAAATATGAATCAATTTCTAGTGATGTGTTGGATCTTACCCAGTTTAAGTTTGAATTGTTTATTTCATTGACTAAATTACCAAAGAACTCAGTAACTGCTAAATACAAATACAGAATTATAATTTGCCTTAAAGTAAAATTTAATTTTGAAAAATGAAGACAAAAATGACATTTCACCTTGGATATTTTACAATCTTGTTTATTTTCATGGAAGAAACTTCATGACCTTTTATCAGCAGAAACTCAATTTATCGATTGAGTCATTGCTGAGAAACCAGTGGGAAACAGAAAATACACTCAACTTACCATGCTATGTGTTAGATCTGGCTAGATAAACATTAGAAAAGGATGAAAAAACTCAATTTTAAAATCTTATACTCAGAAAACAAAGAAAGTTTTTTCTTAATCATAAAGTTTACCTGGAAAATCTTCTAATTTTCTTTTTTTTTTTTTTTTTGAGAATTTTTTTTGCTATAGGGCATGTGAGTTCACCCTAGACAAGGAGAGTCAAAGAGACAGAAATTGAGAAATCATCCCTCTCAGGGGACATGGCCATGAAGCAGTCCCGTCTCCTCCATTTTCTTCCTGGGGTTTTGGGCGCATGCACACGTCTCATGTGAGTTTCAAGAGACCTAGTCTGAGATTCGAACAGTGGCCATGTGAGAGTCCAGTGATGTATCCATTCTGCCATTTGATGGTCCCCTCTTCTAATTTTATTTTTCTTTTCTTTTTTTTTTTTTTTTTGTGTGTGTGGGGGGACACAGGACACTTGTTCATAGGAGAGACAGAGAGGGGGTGGAATGAGAAATCACCCCCCAGAGAGGATGGCCATTCTGCCATCCCTTCTCTTCCATTCTCCTCTTGGGATGCATGCACCTGTGTCCTTAGTGTTTTCAACCTGCAGGGTCGGGGACTCAGACCGTGGAGTCTGCTATGTGGGATCCCGTGTCTTAACCACCATGCCACCTGCTGGCCCTAATTTTCTTATATTTTTTTTTTATAAAAATACGTTAAACAAATTCATTTAAGAAATATTTATTAAGTTCATAGTATATGTCAAGCCCTTTGATGGCAGACCATTATGGTTCCTGCTGTTCTGTATTTTCTATTGTAGTGAGGAGAGAGAGAGAGCAAGACAATAACACAAATAAGTTTTAGATCATGGTGAATGCTATGAAAACAATAAATGTGCCAACCTGGACAGAGACAGTATGTTTTTTTGTTTTTAAAAATATTTATTATCTTTTTCAATTTTTTTTTTTTTGCTACAGGACATGTGAACTCACCAGAGAGAGAAAATGAGAAAGCAAGCTACCGGAGACTTGAACCACAGCTGACCATGTCGGAGTCCAGTGCAATGAAACCCACGCTACCCGCTGGCCTCCAGGGGTATTATTTTAATTGGGCGGCGTGGAAGGGCTCTTTGATGGGGTGACCAACGGAGATGAAAGCTAACCAGCGGTGTGATCATCTTGAAGCACAGTGTGCTAGTGACAGTGAGGGCAGTGGCTCCAGCGGTTTCGCACCGGTAACCCTCCACAGAAGAGTGAGGCCCAGGAGGCACAGGTGCCAACCTCACAAGCCCTGCAGGGTGGGAGCTTGTACAGGCTCTAAAGAATGAATCTCAGGTTTGCATTTGCGTTTTAGATGCCTTCCAAAATATGCGTGGGAAAATACAGTCGGGGTGGCTCTAGAGGCAGTGGAAACACCGGAACAAGGACCTGCAAAGTGGCTCAGAAAGAGATGAGAAACCTGAGGTTCTCAGTGCACGAAACGGGCAGAGCTGGGATTGTGGACTGTCGCATCACCAATAACTCAATACTGGGCTCAATAAACGCCTGTGGACTGAACGAGGGGGAACGACAGAGCGAGGATGAAAAAGGGATCATTGGTCGCACGCTTTCCATGGGGGAGTAGAGACCCCACATTCCAAAGTCTTCTGTCCCATCAGGAGGAGATGGAGGGCTCCAGCACGTTTGTACATGGGTCATTCTGATTCTAACACCGCGATGAAGCAGGTCTTTCTCTTTCCAGATGAGAAAAACCCGAGGTTCAGAGAGGTAGAGCACGCTCCCAGAGGGTCTCGAACTGGCCTCTTTAGGCTCCAGGAGGTCGGACACCCAGCCAAGAACGCAAGCCTAATCGCGTATCAGTATTTAGTACCACTCCGCCGAGAGGCCCAAAGAACACAATGTATTATGTAAAGCCTAAAAACAAAGAAACCCAAAAAAGTCGGTAATTCCCCGCAAGGGGACATAACAGGGTGCCAGAACATTCCTCTAGCCTGTCGCAGAGAACCAGAGCGGCACTTCTCCGCAGCCCGACCAGAGCCCAAGACGCAAGCCACGCACGGAGGGGGCGGGGCTCCCGGCCGGGGCGGGGAAGCAGAGCGCAGCCGCAGTGCAGCTCGTGAGCGCCGGGCCCGGGGCGAAGGGAGGAAAGGCAGAGGGGGCGGGGCACACAACCGCAGGCGCATGCGTCTATGCTAAGGTATGCTAAGGCAGCGCGCTGTTCGGATGCGCAGGAAGGCCTTGACGTCACTTCCTGCCCTAGGTCGACAGTGCTTCCGGGTCGCGGTCAATTGGAGCCCGTATCTGGGTGACTTCTTGGCGGTCGAGGTGGTGTCCCCCCCCCTCCCCTTGCTGTGTCCCGCGCTTTTCTCCCTCGCTGCCCCCTCTCGGGCGCCCTGAGGGCCTTGTGCCCCTGCCCGCCCAGGCTCACCGCGCCGTCGCTTGCTGCTGTCGTCGGGAGGTGGGTGAAGTGACGCAGAAAGCCCGCCTTGGCCCCCCACGTTCCCACTCTTCGTCTCCGCGCGGCCATCCGCCCACCTGCCGCCATTTTCCCGCTCGGGAGGGTGGATTGCTGGCGCTCGGGGGCTCGGCCCTGGAGTGCCCCGGGGCGGCTGAGGCGAGGCGGTGGCGCTGGGGGAGTGGGTGGGAGAAGCTGGTGTTGCTGGGCGTGTGGGCGTTGCTCGTGCAGGTGGCAGACGCTCACGGGGTCGTGTGCGGGCCGCGACGGCTCCTTCCAGTCGGGCATCCGCTCTGCCTCTGCAGCTGAGGTCGGGCGTCGTCCGAGGGGGCCGCCCCGCCTGACCACAGGTTTCCCGGGACAGATGCTGTCGTCGGAAATGAGGGATTCGTTTTTTCTAGTACGGTTTGGGACAGAAGTAGGTTATTAAGCCGGCCCCACCCATCCATGAATTCAGTTTACCCTTTTTATTCCGTTTTCAAAACTACTTAAAGGATGGCATCGATGGTTTACTGACTATGATGGGCTCAGCGGCTAGCCTCGTTATCATTTTTCGCTTTCATGCCAGTCGTTTTGCAAAATGAAAATCATCTCTGTAAACTATGAGGTTATCTGATCTGTTGGTCTCCTACCCCCAGCTATTGGGTTTAAAATGAAAAAAATAAAAACGTGCACTCTTGGCATACTGTCCATTTGTTACTTTCATGTTCTAAGTTCTTTGTAGACTACATGGGAGAAGGAGGAAGTTCGGAGGATGCAGGATTGGCCGTAAGCTTTACTCCGCAGAGAGGACAGGATGGCCTTGTTGTTACTCCATTTACAAAATTTCCTTTTGATTAAGGCTTTGTTGGAGAGGTTGCATGTTTTATCATTTTTTTGTTTTTACGAAGTGGAAGCCCAGAAATGACATGGGATTTTTCTTTTCCTAATTCTGGAAATTACCTTGTCATTGAACATAGATTTTCGAAAGGTCCAAAATATAGGATAATGTAAAATAAACCAGCTTTAGGAGGAAGCATTCATCTTTTTCTTTTCACGTCTTTTCATTTTCTTCATGTCTTTTTATATTTTACCTTAATGTGAGTGAGCTGATATAAAGCATAAGTTCTTTAGTTAAAGGATCTGACATGAATAATCAGTTCCAAATTACCTAGTTCTGTGACTTTTCATTTAGCTTTCTTTTTTTTTTTTTTTTTAAGGTTTTTGCCAGAGGGTACGAGAGAGAGAGAGAGGGAATGTTGAGAAACCATCCCCAGGAAGGATGGCCACACTACAATCCCTTCTTTTTCTGGATTTTGTGATCCCACTGGGTTCGAATGCACTCACTCCTGGCGTGATTTTCAAGCTGTAGCATCCAGAATTCAAACATGGCTGGCCATGTGGGAGTCTAGCGCCTTTTGTCAAGTACTTAAGATATAGTAGCTCTTAGTAAATGTTTATTGATTGCCATGTAGAATAGTATTTTTAGTATATCATATTTGTTTTATTTTGACCTGTTGTGGTAGTTCCTAATACTGAATATAAATATTTTTGATACAGGAAAGATGAATGGGAGGGCTGACTTCCGAGAGCCGAATGCAGAAGTTCCAAGACCAATTCCCCGTAACTATCTATTAAATATTTATATTTAGAAACACCGTGCTATGTAAAGAAAATTTCACTGGCTTGAGTAACAGTGGCAGCTGCACTGGCTTCATGGGGGTGTCACTTGTGTCACATAGTGCCTCACACTTGGTTTAATGCTTTCCTGTTGCCATCTGGGAATTCTCAGTAATTAGAACAAAAGGTTTCCCATTTTCATTTTGCACAGGCCTGGCACGTGTTATATAGCCTAGCACTTGGTAGCATTAACTTTTGTTTAAAGTCAGAATTTGTGAAAAGTTTAAAAGCCAGTTTTTTAATTGTTTTAAAACCAAACAAAGCTTTTGTTGATAGTTAGACTAGCTAATTCTTCAAATTGGTTTTGTTATGAGTATTTTAATATTTCCCACTTTTTAAAAAGACATAGGGGCTGATTACATTCCAACGGAGGAAGAAAGACGAGTCTTCGCTGAATGCAATGATGAGAGCTTCTGGTTCAGATGTGAGTTCAGTTTTCTAATCATAACATAATTTGATATAAAATTTGTACCTGGAGTTTGTTCTGCATTTGTACCGAAATTACGACGATTGTATATAAAACAAGTTGGCATGCTTGGGACATAGTGTGGTGGTTGCGAAAAGAAATTGAGAAAACAAGTAGAATAATCGTGTTCTTTTAAAATAATTATTTCTAGATTTTTTTTTTTTTTAAGGGAGATTTTTGCTATAGGGTGTGTACGTTTGTTGGAGAGACAGACAGAGACAGAGAGACAGAAAGTGAGACTTGACCTCCCCATGGTGGATGGCCACACCGCAGTCCCTTCTCCTAGGGTCTTGGGCACGCACACACTTGGCACCTGGGTGAGTTTCAAGCTGTATGGGTCCAGCACTTGAACCACAGTAGACCATATGAGCATTCAGCTGTGCAACCATTACGCCATCTGCTGTTCTCCAGAAGTTTTTTTTTAAATTGTTTAGTAACCTTGGCAATCATATCAGCATTTGCTGAGTGTGTGTTTATATAAAAACAATTCAGTAAGGTTGATAGCTTATTACCCTTACTTTGCAGAAGAAGGCATTGAGGTTTAGAGATGTCAAATGTTACATCGTATCATACATCCAAAAGTAAAGGTGTGTGGGCTTGAAATCAGGTCTGACACTGAAGCTGCTAACTTCTTCACCTCTGATACTTTTAACCATTGCGTAGTATAACTAGTTAGTGCCCACTTTATCATTGTATTCTGACACTAGCAGGCTCTTGATTTCTGACTGCAGACTTTATGTACCAGGGTTTTACTTTTTAAATACAGAAAATGTTGGAAGCAATACCTAAAATATCATACTTTGGAACGATACTCTGGTATTGCCTCATCTGGAAACTGCTGGTCCTTCCGGTAGTGATTCTGAGAAAAAGTAGGATGGAATTTAAGAGCCAAAAAGCACATTGAGCCATTAGGAAGGATACACATTTTTGTTGGTCAGTCTGGCGTGTATGCTTACAACGTGTAAGGAACTGTGCTTGGGTGATAAGTATTGTGAACCCTAGTTTTTGTCCTGAAGATGTTTTATGTTATATTTGAAGCAGAGCTAACACATTAAAAAACACTAGAGAAAGAATTAAGTGCATAACTAGTAAGAATTTATTTATTTTTTTAAGAGAGATTTTTGCTGTACGGTGACTGTGCTCACTGGAGAGACAGAGAGATAGAAAAGACAGAAAGCAAGAAATCACCCCCCGCCCCCCAGGGGGATGACCACACCGCAATCCCTTCTCTATTCTCCTCTCAGGGTTTTGGGCATGCACACACGTATACCCGGCATGAATTCCAGGCCACTGGGTCTGGGACTCAAACCATGGTCCATGGTTGACTACATGGGAGTCCAGTAGTGTAATTGCACGCCATCTGCTGGTCCCGCAGTTGGCTTTTAAAACAAAAGTGAAGTGTTGCATGTTGTAACATCAGACATTGAAAATATATAGTACTTTGGCTGTAACCAAATGATAGGAAATTCAGCACATATGAGGGGACTTAAACAATTCATGGAAAATAGAATTAAAATAAGAGTTTATTTTGGTGCAAAACATTGGAAATCCATGAGTGTTTTTTTCATGATACCTATTTGCCTTGAACTTTTTTATTCCTTTTTTAAAAAGAGATTTTTGCTATAGAGTGCTTGTGCTTGCCAGAGAGACAGAGACAGACAGAAAGGGAGAAATCACACATACACACACCCCGGGGCATGGCCACTCCTCAATCTCTTCTCCATTCTTCTCTCAAGATCTTGGGCACGCACACGTGACCGGCGTGAGTTTTAAGCCCCCGAGTCTGAGGCTCGAACCGCAGCAGACTACATCCAGCGATGTAACCATTATGCCATCTGCTGGTCCCTTCCATGAACCTTTAAAAGAAGTTATCAGAAGAGGGACTGATAGTCATGCATCAGGAAATTTTACTGTAACAGTTGTATTTTCAAATGAGGCATTCCATGCAGTATGTGACGATTGCATGTTTATGTAATTGAATAGTGTAGTCCTCTTGTGAGGGGAGCACAATTCTTGTGTTAGATACGACTGTGTCTGAGATCATAATGCACAATAGGTTTGAGTCAGCAGTATTACTAATTCCACATTGATTTGCCTAAGGAAACAGATCGTTTATCAAGCTCTGACTCTGAAATAGGGGTCAACAGTGCAGTGGAAAAGGCCATTACCCTGGGAGTCAGGTTTAGCTTCTGATCCTAGCACACCCACAAACTGACCAGCTGTGTCTGATGAATTAAGATGAAGGTTAGATCATCTCTAAAACTTCAGTTTTACCATTGTCATTATCTTTTATGTAAAATAGGACATATGAATTGGAAGGAGATCGTAGGTCTAATCTTTATTCCTTTACAGAAAGAGAAGTAGTTAAGAGATAGCTCCAAAGATAGTGCTGAATGACAAGTAGCACTAGAATCTCCAGAACTGGACCTTGATCTTTGCATTAGATGGAGATGGGGACCGCACTGTCCATTGTAGAGACAGCCAGCTAACTCGGTGCCTTTTATTCTGGCATGGTTCCTCGGTGCTTCACGTTGCAGTCCTTGAACCAAGCGGAAGGAGAAACATGATTGTAGATGGTACTGATGCTGTAGTTAAAGGGATTTGATTTGTCCTTTGACAAACCTTAAATGATAAATCATCAAGGCATTCTAACCAACCAGCATTAAAGAAATCATTTTCCCAGCAAAGGTAAAATCTGAAAGTAGGATAGCAAGGATTCAGACCTTCGGGTTTTAGCAAACTGTATCTCATGTGAAGCTAATGCCCTGTTGCCAAGTTAGGAATTTTAATTATGGAGTTTCTGAATGATGTCTCAGTTACTTTTTTTTTTTTTTTCTCTAAATGAAAGATTTAGAGTGATAGCAGTTATGTTTTGTTTTTGAGAGAGATTTGCTATAGGGCTTGTGTGCTTGACAGAGAAACAGAAAGCAAGAAATCACCCCTTGGGATGGCCATGCTGCAATTGCTTTTCCTCCATTCTCCTTTTGGGATCTTGGGCACACACACACGGGCCCAGTGTGAATTTTAAGCCACTGGGTCTGGGACTTGAACCACAGTTGACTGCGTGGTGTCCAGCGACATAACCATTGTGGCATCTGCTGGTTCCAAGATAAAAGTTTTCAACAGGGTCTTGCTATGTGGTGATTCCCTGCCCCAGCCTTCCAGTTTGCACCACCGTGCCCAGCCTTTGGAAGTTGGACTGGGAAGTGAACCTGGGCCTACCCTAGTTCTTAAATTGCCCAAGTTGAGCAAACTATAGCTCGTGAACCAGATCTGGTTTTGTATGCGTGAGCTAAGTAAGAATTGTTTTTATATCTTTAAATGGTTGGGAAAAAAATCAAATGAGAATATAATCATGGAAAAATGACATGAAGTTAATATTTTTGTATCAGTAAATAAAGTTTTACTGGAGCACAGCTTTTCTTCTTCTTTTAAAGACTAAGTCTAAAAAAAAAAAAAGACTAAGTCTCACTGTGTCACTATATAGGCATGTACCGCTAAGCTTTTTTAGACAAGGTCTTGTTTTTTCACTTTTTAACTTATGTTGTATACATAGTTTTTAATTAAAAACATTTTTTTTTTTACAATGTGCAAGACGGTTTTCCCAGCATGAGTATAATGCTCATTAGTCAAGCCAAAGATTACCATATACATTATCAATGGATAACTTTTCATTTTTGTATATTAAATGTTTTGTTTGCTTTTTCCCGATCTCCACCCTACTACCCCATATCAGCAACCCCATTACCCTCCCTTCCTGTACTGTCTCTAGTATCTTCTGTAGCCTCCCTACTATTATACCTTCCAGTCTTACTGTTTCTGCTGTAAGCACACCCATTCTGTATATGTTAAGACAGTGCCTGTCTTACAGTTTGGCTTTGCTTAGCATTACATCTTCTGTATTGGTCTACTTTGTATCAGATGTTGGGGTCTTGTAATTTTTTATGGCTGAGTAGTATTCCATAGTCTACATGTGCCACATGAGTAGTATTCCATAGTGTACATGTGCCACATTTTTTCAGTCCACTCGTCTGTTACTGAGCATTTGGGTTGACTCCATGTCCTAGCAATTGTGAATAATGCTGCAATAAACTTGCAAGTGTTTATTGTGTTTTTCTGACTTTGGGTTTCCCTATCCTTTCGGTAGATACCTAAGAGTGGAATTAGTGGACCATATGGTAATTTTATTTGTAGGGTTTTTTTTAATACGTGTGTGTATAATTACTTTTTATGCATTTAATCACTGTGTATCATTATAGTATGCAAAATGAATTTTCCCAGCATGGATACACTATCATAGTCCAGTTAAAGATATTGTTACACATGTTATCAGTAGATAATTTTCCATCTTTGTGTCACTTAAATGTTTTGCTTGTTTTCCCCCTTGATTTCCTTTTCACCCTCCCCCATTTCCTACCCTCTTGCTATGTCACCCAGGCCAACCTTGAGCTTGTCATCATCCTGCCTCAGCTTCCCTGGGTTACTAGGATTACGGGCATGAGTGAGCCATCATGTGCGGCTTTTAGGGTGGACTGAAAATTGAACCCTAGCCCCTCGTGGTCCCACCCAACACAGCATCTTAGCAATGTGTCACTGTGGCTGGACCTAGTTGTGTGTTTATGTAGTTTTTCTAGGGTTTTTTTTGCTTTAAAGCAGTTGGATAATTGGGACAAAAACTAGCCCACAAAACCTGAAATATTTACCACCTGGCTCTCTGTAGGCCACGTTTGCCATCTCTAGGTCTAGAACAGCACTGTCACTGTGGCAGCCCCCAACCACGTATACCTGCTTAAATGAAAAATAATATGCAGTGAAAGAGTGCCAAACCAAATCAGCAGAAGGAAAATGAACATGGGGTAAAGTCAGAGGAAATAAGGCATGTGCTTCTAAGAGTCCTCTCCCAGTGGAGTTGCCTGCACAGCATGTTTTTAATTTCTCCCACAGCTAGTTGTAGCACACATGAAGGGTTATATTACCAGGGAAGATCACTGAGACCCAGAGTCAGGGATATCACTGGGGACTGGTCTCCTCGGCACACTCGACCTAGCAGGCACCAAAGTTCCAAATTCCCAGAAGGAAGGCAGGTGTTTGTCATGAGCTGTGTTAGATCAAACAGTTCGGGCACGGAGAGCCAGCCACTTACTCATGTGGTCAGGTTTACGTCAGTGCTCGGAGCTGCTTACCATTAAAGTTCCTAGACCAAGTTGCTTGTAAGGTGGGTTTGCCAAGGACCACTTCCCATCATTACGGAGAATTCAGTAATGCTGGTGTGGAGAATAGGGATTCGTAGCTATTTTAAGTTATAAGCTGCTTTGAAATTGGGCTGAGAGTTTGGATTTCTTACTCTGGGCTAATAGGCACATGTAAGGAATCCAAGTTTATGGCAAGAGCATATTATCAAAATGCTGTGCGTGAGCTAAATACATCTTTTTAGGTTTATTTCCTCCGTAAGTGAGAGAGACAGAGATGGCACCGTCTGTAGGCCCCAGTGCTGTGACCACACCAAGCCCTGCCAGCCCCGGGCCATGGGCACTTGTGTGCTTGGTGTACTTAGAGGTCTCTGGGTGTGAATCCTGCCCCTGAACCCTCCCATGTTTTACCCACTGCACCCGGCCCGGATTTCAGAATTTTTTGTACCAAAATAAACTCGTATGTTAATTCCATTTTTCTATGATTTTTTTTTTTAAGATGTAGCAAAGTGGGAGTTTATTGAAGGAGAGGGAAGGAAAACCAGAGCTCCCTAGAAGGGAGGAGTCCTGGGAGATGTGTTGCCAAGGAAGAACTATGGCCAGGAAGGACTGTCTGGACTTGTTGTAGGTGGGGCTTGTGGGTGTATTCCCTGTGGTGGGCAGGGGACGGGAGGATGGGTCCAGTTATTCTCCTAATTTTGGAGTGAGTAGAATGGTCAAGAGATTCTTTGTTTAGAAGCTTTAGGCCATGCATTATTGAACAACAAGGTTTACATGTGTAAGGTCAAAAGAATATGGTGACTGGGAGAAGAGGGACTGTCAGGAGCCACACAGCAGGGACTCTCTGGGCTGGGTCCGTGAACTTTTTGACATCCCCTTGGGTATACAGATGTGATATTCCCATATAGTTTTAAGAGTTTTATTGGTTTAGAAAAAGGAACATTAAGATTTAAAATACATTCTATCTTGTCCCAGTTACCATATGGTTACAGTCAAATATATTTTGTATTTAGGTACGCGGTGTAATAGAGCGTAAAAGCTTGGGAGCTGGTATCAGACAGGCTTCATTCGAGTTGCCATTATAATTCATGAGACTGCCATTTAAACTGGCCGTGTGGCTTCAAGCAGATTATAAACTCTCTCTAAGCTTCGGTTTCTGTGTCTTTCAAAGGGTGGGAATGGGGGGGAAAGGTAGTAATGAGGCGGCTGGCATTTGGTGTCTTGGACCTGGTGGCTTTTTCTCTCTCTCGTCAAATTAATAAAAATAATAACAGTGATAAGTATGATTAAATAAATATTTTTAAAAGAGCTGCTGATCTTCTTTTTTTAAAATTTTTATTTATTATTATTATTTGAGCAGAGAGAGAATGAAAGGAGGAGAGAAGGAAAGTGAGAAAGCAAACCACCTGGTCCAGGACTTGAACTGGGGTCGGCCACATGGGAATCCAGCACCTCAATCACCATGCCACCTGCTGGCCCCATGAGAGCTGCTGATCTTAAAGGAAAAAAAAAAAAAAAAAAGAATGGTAATAGGGGGCCATTGGATGGCATAATAATGGTTACGTCCCTGGATCCCCACGTAGTCGACCAGAGTTTGAGTCCCGGACCTAGTGGCTTGAAACTCATGCCAGATACGTGTATGTGTGTCTAAAATCACGAGGGGAGAGTGGAGGAGAAGGGATTGTGTGGCTGTCCCCCGTGGGGTGGGGGGACGTGATTTCTCGCTTTATCTCTGTCTCTCCAGTGAGTGCACACAGGCCCTATAGCAAAAATATCTAAAAAGAAAAAAAAAAAGGTGGTAACATTACCTTACAGATGTGATTAAAGTAAAAAAGGTGATGCATGTAAAGTGGTTAGCACAGTGCGTGGAATTGAATTTATTCATCGTTCAGTAGTGGCTTTATTTGTAATTCACTTTTCTCTGACATGATTTTTTCCTCTATCCTCTAACTCCAGAAGTAACTCTCAGTCATTTTCACTGTGTTTCTTAGTTGACAATATAACAAATGGTGGCTGTTTTAGAACCTAAACCTAGGTGGTTTTTGTTTAATATTTTATAATGTTTTATAAAATTTAAAATGCTCTTAGAATTTTCCTAATGATTGTGGAAATGGAACAGTCTCGGAGCCAGCAGGAGGTGTAGTAGCTAAAGTGCTAGACTCCCACATGGCTGGCCCTGGTTCAAGTCCCAGACCTGGTGGCTTCCAAACATGCTGGACATGTGTGTGCATGCTCAAATTCTGAGAACTGAATGGAGGAGAAGGATTGCTATGTGGCAGTCCTGTTGGGGGATGATTTTTCACTCCCTCTCACGGGCAAGTGCACACACACTGTGACAAAAACCTAGCAAATCTGGTTTAAAAAAATCTAATTTGTGCAATATTATTCTTAGGTGGTTTTCTTGTTATTTATTTCCTATTTAGCTTAACAAAGTCTTTTCTTTTTTTATTGATTCTAACAAATTCTTTTTCCTCCTATAGCTGTGCCTTTGGCTGCAACAAGTATGTTGATTACTCAAGGATTAATTAGTAAAGGTAAATAGATAAACCTTCAATTTATTTAGTACTTTGGATTTCATGTGTTATGTTACTTTTCTGGTTTTTGGGCAAATAAAAATATGCCACGAGAATCTGATACCCTCCTGCACTGTGACATCCTTATGTGAAGCAAGTACTAAGTGTATTCAGTGTTAGGATTTAGGCTGCAACTGGGAAATAACATCTCCAGTAAACCATAGCTTGTGCTCTAAAGTGCTGACAGTCAGGGTCATTTTTGGCAGGAAAAAAGAAGGAAGAAGGAAGATAGGATTACGAAGTCTGTCAAGAATTTAGGTTGGTGCAAGCAAGTTAGCAAGATGTCTTGCAGGAAGGGGAGGAGTAACTGGTGGTGCCTTTAAGCATCATTCCTGCAAGCAGGAAGAAAAGGGAAGCATGGCGTTTTCAGTTTAGCTTTGAAGTCTGCATGTTCTCAGAACACACCGCAGTGTGCAGGGACAGCAGATCTGGAGAGATTCCATTTATTCCGAGGCGGTATAGATTTCGTAGGGTTAAAAGATCAGAAAGCGGAGGCATGACTATCGCCCACTCACTGACACCTGCCGCCCACTCTTTAGAGCACAAGCGACAGGTTATTGGAGATTTTAGTTCCAAATTACAGCCTAAAGCCTAACACTGATAGACTCATTGCTTGCTTTACACACTCTGATTAGACCTCTTCGTCGTAATGATGTCATAGTGCAGGAGGGCGTGAGACTCAGCACATTGAAGTCAGTGGGCTCACACACTTCCCTGTCAGTCAGGAGAGTGGTTCGACAAGCCCAAACCATCTCATTTTAGTTCACATTCTCCCTTTTGATCCAGATCTCTTCCTTAGGAAAGTTTTGATCCTCCGTTAATGATGGTTGTTAAGAAGGCTTTCCCAGGAGGCCATATTCCCTGTTGGTTAGGGAAGAATGTTGAGGATTAGACAGATTGGATTTATTGGTGGATTTAAAGGCAGCCGAGTGAATATAATGCAATGCCAGGTCAGGTCATTTGAAATTGAGGAGGGTCATTCCTAGTCTCTCTGGTTTTGGTGATTGAGCAATGAGAAAGGCATAGTGTTACTGACTTAAAATTAATGAAAATGACCAATGTGTTTATAAAAATTAAAATAATTGGTGATCCAGATCAAAAGACGTTCCTAATCCTGAAGGCAGGATTAGGGAAATGACTGGGGAAGGAGGTCTTCCATTTTAGCAGTTTGCGGGCATTTGGCCTGCTGAGTGACTTCTCCCTGGAGGGCTCTGACCTGTCCCCGGGTGTGGATGTAGTCCAGCAGGTAGCACGAGCAGCGGTGTTGTTCCCAGTCTGCAGGAGCAGAGCTGTGATGCTCCGCTGAGAGGTAGAGAGGCAGACCCGGTCGGGCGTGCCAGCAGTGTCACTGTTGCTTAGAGACTTGTTAGAAATGCCTGTGGCCTGGGAGCTATGTAAGCTGGATGCCACGTGACTGACGGCGTGTTTTGAGTCCTGGACCCGGTGACTTGAAAAGACATGCTGGATATGTCTGCATGTGCCAAAAATCCTGAAAGAAGGGACAAGTGAAAGAGAAGAAATAGTGAGGGGTGCTTTCTTTCTTACTCTCTCTTTCTATCTCTTCCTGGTGAATGCACCCACCCTCTAGAAAATTAAAAAAAAAAAATTCACAGCTCCCTTCCACACCTACTATGTCAGAATCTCTGAGGTGGAGTAGAGCCTTGCATCTGGGTTTTAATAAACTCTATGTGATTCTTACACACAGGTACAGAGATCAGTAGTTCCCTTAACCAGCTTTGTCCTATCTCCTATGGGAATGTGTGAGGATTAGTTGGCATTTAAAAAAAAATTAGAGCGACCTGCAGTTAGCATAATGGCTATGTCACTGGACTCTCACGTAGTCCACCGCTGTTCGAGTCCTGGACCTGGTGGCTTAAACTCACTCCAGGCGTGTGTGCATGCGTGTCCAAGATCCCGAGAGGAGAATGGAGAAGGGATTGCGGTGTGGCCATCCCCCCTGGGGGGTGATTTCTCGCTTTCTGTCTCTCTGTCTCTCTCTGTCTGGCAAGCACATGTGCCCTATAGCAAAAACCTTTAAAAAATAAAAATTAGAGGCCTGGCCATGGGCACAGTGCAGAGGAACCCAGATCCCACAAGACCAACCAGGGTTTGAGTCTTGTCCCTGTTGGCTTGAAAAGCATGTTGGGCGTGTATATATACAGAATCCTGATGGGTTGGAGAATTGGAAGGAAAAGGATTGTGGCCTAACCAGGTCCCATGGGGTAGGGGTGCACCCTCCCTTCTCTCTCTCTTCTCTCATGCATGTGCCCTCTGGCATGAAAAAAATCGAAGAACCTCTGGGTCTTGGCCAGCAGGTGGCATAGTTACATCACTGGATTCTCACATGGCTGACCACAGTTCAAGTCTTGGACCTGGTGACGTGAAATTCAAGCCAGGCACTTGTGCATGTGTTCCCAAAATTCCAGGAGACTGGAATCACCCCAGGGGGTGATTTCTCACTTTCCCTCCCATGGTCTGTCTCTTAGGGCACATGGTAAGTCCATGCGCCCTAAGGCAAAAGACTCGAGAAAAAATCTCGAGTGGGATCCATCCACCTTAATTACCTGCCACTGGCTGGTCCAGTGCCTTTTTACATTAGTACTGTGGAGTACTTCAGACAGTAGTCTTGACATAGGTAGTTCAAAGAGAAATGTAGGATTTGGGGGGTGTTAAAGTTTATTGATTTAAAGAACTTCTAGAAAACCTCATTTTGATGTGCTGCCATGACTTTTTTTGTTGTTGTTGTTGTTTTTTTTTTAAAGAGATTTACTATAGGGTGTGTGTGCCCACTGGAGAGACAGACACAAAAGGAGAAATCCTCCAGGGAGCATGGCCGCCCCAAGTCCCTTCTCCGTTCTCCCCTCAGGATCCTGGGCGCGTGCGCGCACGCACACACACACACACACACACACACACACACACACACACACACCCGGGCTGAGTTTTAAGCCACCAGGTTCGGCATTCTAACTGGGGTCGACTATGTGGGAGCCCAGCCACATAACCATTATACCCTCTGCCAGTCCCCACGACAGGAATCTTAAATCAACGTATTTATGTCCTTTGAGACTTACTAGGTTGTCAGAAAAGCCATGGTGTATTTTTCTATTTCTCTATGCAGAAATGTGTCATGACTTTTCCAGCAACCCCATAGTTGTTAGGCTGGCCCCATAGTTTGTTCTTTAAGGAAGCCAGATCCCATATGCCTGACTGGTTTGAATCTCAGCTCTGGGGGGTTAAATAATGTGCAGGGTGTGTGTGCATGAGTGCCCAAAATCTGAACAGGGTGGAGAAAGGGAGTAGAAGGGGTTGTGGCATGAGCACACCTCTTTAAGGGATGCTTTCTCCCTTTTCATCTCTCTTTTTCCTGACAGGTGCATGCACCCTTTTGCAACTTAAGTTTATTTATTTTTAATAGTTTTTGCTATAGGGCGTATATACTTCCTGGAGAGAAACAGAGAGAGGGAAAGTGAGAAATCACCCTGAAGGTGGGATGGTCTTGCCACAGTTCCTTCTTCACTCTTTTGGGATTTGGGGCAGGCATGCACATGCACCTGGTGTGATTTTTCAAGCTGCCAGGTCTGGGACTTGAACTGTAGAGTCAGCCATGTGGGATCCAGTGCCTCCATACCACCTACTGGCCCAATTTAGTTCTTTTATAGTTCTTTTTTAGTTCTGAGATTAGATGCTTATTTGGGGGGGAGAATCACTTAAATCACCTTACTTTGAAAGAAAAACTGGCACAGAAAGTTACGAATGGAGAAATTATAGTGTCTGTTATTAACGTTCTTCCTGTCTTACCTTTTTTGTTTCTTTATTCACACTACGGCTCGTGTGTGTGCCCTTGAGAGAGAAGGTGAAGCAGAGGGGGGTTGTCCTCTCAGGTCTGGAGCTCTTTGCACATGCCTGGAGCGTTTCAGGTTGACTGGACCAGGGTTCAGACTAGTTGCCATTGGGATCCAGCTTAAGAGCTGCTAGTAGTTTTTTATTATGAATATATACAAACAGAACTTAAAAACGTTTTAAAATGATTTAATTTTATTCATTATTTTAATTTACCTAAGGGCTTGTGCACTCACCAGAGTGGGCGAGGGAGTGAAAAAGCAAGCTGAAAGGTCTGGGACTTGGACTGCGGTCGGCCATGTGAGAGTCCAGCACCCCAACCAGCCTGCCAGCTGCTGACCCTGCTCTTAGAAAGTTTAATTAAATATTTTATAAGGTAGTAAGTAAAACTTCCTGTATAGTAGAGACTCCGAATGGTATAGTGTTCAATGAAGGAAAATTTGAGAAAGTGCTACAATCAGTTTCTTAAAAGAAGTGGGTTTTGAAGAATGGGCAGAACTTAGATTAAAAGAGAAGGAAGACACTCTCCAAAGAGGGACCTGGTGATCAGAACAGTAAGTGTGACTGTAAGGACTGATCTGCTAGAGGCAGGTTCTGCAGGGAAGAGGAGTGGAAACACCACCACATAGCTCGGGTAGGCCCAGGGTAAATGATCTGGATTAGGTAAAGAAGGGAAAGTTGGCTAGCCACAGGAGGGCAGCAGTAGTGCAGCACCTGTGATGTTGAAGACACGTGGGTGGCCTGGCTTTGTGTCCTAGGGTCACCTGTACTCACCAGGGGTGTGTGTGCTTGCAGTTCTGGCTGGCTGTGGCCGGGGTGGATCACAGCCTGGGTACTCTGCTGGGGGTACACCTTTTTTTCCCCTTCTTTTCCTAGTTTGCCGCAGGGTGTGTGTGTGTTAGAGTTGGGATAGGGAGTGAGAAAACACCTGCGGCCATGCGTGCTGCAGTCCATTGTCTTAGGAGTTTGGGTCCAGTTGAATATATCCTGAAGGGTTTCAGCTGCTGGGTCCAGGACTGAACTTCACAGTCGATTATGTGGAGGGCTGGCCTCCAGTTTTTTTCTTTAAGATTATTTATTTCATGAAAGAAGGAGGTAGAGAGAGGAAGAGGTGCCTCGAGTAGGGTCTTCACCATGATTCTGCCCCTAGACTCATCCACCTAGGGTCATGGGCATGGCCAGACACGCATGAGGAGCCCTCAGGACGAATCCTGGCCTCCCACGTGCCCTCCGTGTGGTAGTGTCGCGTCGGTCTGCACCACTGCATCTGGCCCTTGCTGCTTAAGTTTGACTGGCAATCAGTGCCACTGTTCATTTAGACCAGGCTATACTCTGTTCTCACCACCACTGGCCATTTTTGTGTCTTTGGTATTGTCGGCCATTGTGGTCAATGAGTAGTGATAATGATTGCACTGTGTGGTTTTAGTCTGCGTTTCTCTGTGACTAACGAACTTGAGGACTTTCTTGTTTGTACTCCATTTGTGAAGTATCTGTTTAAGTCTGCTGTCCATTTTTTCCATTGGATTGTCTTTTTCCTGATGTTTTTGCAGGAGTTCTATTTTTGTTCAAGTTTTTGTTTTTGTAAAGTGAAGTTGCAACATTATACAGTTTCCTTTCTTGATACACTCTTTGCAAACTTTCTTTTATCTTGGCTTCATAATGGCACTGTCTTAGGATTTTTCTCTTACCTCTGGCAACTCCATCTTTTCCATATGTGCTTTGAGTATTTGATATGCGTTATCCACTGTTGGCATTGAAAAGCCAAAAATTCATTGACCTCTTGGAGCTTACATTCTTGTGTAGGTTTTCTTCCTCTCCTTACCTTGAACATGTTGGTGTTCTTCAGAGTTCTGCTCTGACTTTCAGGTTTTAGTCTGTAGCTGTTATCCAGCAAAAATGTGGGCTTCAGCAGCTTTGTCATAGCCTAGTCCCCAAGGCTGTGTGTAGCCCAGATACCTGCTGCTGTGTGTTACATTCTAGGTAGCTTTACGTGGGTGGTCCTTCCACAGGCCGCTCAACCTGAGCTCTTTTCCTAAAA